GGGTCCAAAAATCTGGGCAGCAACACTAGGCTCCCAAGCACAACCAACCTGTAACAAACCTGCCCAACACATCCCAAAACTCAAAATACAAAGAAAAGAGGAAGCAAACTAGAAAATAAACAACTACCAACATCCACGGACACATGTCCGGATCACTGTACAACAAGGGTAAACCCGGGATCGCTATAAAATGCATTGACAACACCTTTACAAATTTTTCCTTGCATTGAATAAAGTGTATGAGTCTTCTTGCACTTAGCCACCACCAAAGAACCCTTTGTGAGCTTCCATATTCCATCACCAAATTTGTTGTTGTAACCTTCATCATCTAACTTCCCAGTAGAGATCAAATTGAGGCGAATGTCAGGAACATACCTCACATCTTTAAGTAACAGCTTGTAACCCAAATTTGTTTCCAAGCAAACATCACCCATACCAATAATCTTGGACAAACCTTCATTTTCCATTCGAATAGAACCATAATCTCCTTCGGTATAGGTAGTGAAAAAATCAACTCGAGAAATCACATGAAAAGAAGCACCGGAATCAATTAGCCAATTGCTCTCTTGGCCCACAAAATTGATACAATCATTTTCACAAACAACTATGAGATCATCAATAGTAATTGTCATTGTGTCTTCTTGCTTTTTATCCACACTTTTGTCATGCCTTTTCTCTTTGTTCTTGAGCTTTCGGCATTCTCGCTTCATGTGCCCTTTCTCATGGCAATAATAACACACAATGTCTTTCTTTGAAAAAAAAAGCCATCTTTTGATTTGTCACTATCACCCTCAATGGGTCTATACAAATCTTTACAAAATAATAGGTCCTCCATTTTAGTTTTCCAAGTTACCCAATTGCTTGTATTGAAACTAGACATACGACCCACATTCCCCTTCATTGATTTACACAAATAATTAAACCCACATAAACCGTAAGCTCTGATACCAGTTGTTAGGGAAAATATGTGATTCCCCACAAGTAAATCAATCAATGGGAATAAAAACAAATGCGGAAAAATTTAATCAAAAGCAACACAAGAATTTTTACGTGGTTCCCTCAATGTGAGGTACGTCCACAGGATCAAAATCCGATTCCACTATCAACCAAAGAGTTTCCAAACGATTACAAATGAGGCACTAATGGTCTCACAAACCACCCTTAGGTGAATTCCAAATAATCACGAATAAACAAAGAGGAAAGACCTCACCAAATAGATGAACCAAAATCTTCAGAACCAGAGTCGAAGAAGATCCAAAATAATAACCAAATCAATCCACACAAAGATTGCCAAAATCCACCCACTAAATCAAACCAGTAATGTGATTGTCCACAATGATAATTAGCCCACCAAAGATGATCAGCTTTTTGTAACCCACCGAATTGATTTTTCAATCAATACAATTTGTTGCAGCACATTATCTCACAGAGAGGAATTAATCGGCAGCCACTCTCTTGGAAGAAGAAAACAATGTATTGTGAATCTAGGGTTTATTATCAAAATCTTAGTTGTTTCCAAACTAAATTGGGTCTCCACAAAATTAGATATAATATATAAAAATATATTATAACTAATACCAAATCAAATTAAACTCTTTTAATAAACTAATTGGGTCCCACACTCCAATAAGGAGGTATACCCAACAGATAGCAAGGGTAAGGAGGTGGATCTCAGCACATACAAAGGGAAGGTTCTTCATGTTGTCAACGTTGCTTCCAAATGGCTTCTTCCCTTCTCTTCTCTTTTTTAATCTTGTTTATTGTTGCCTTATATTCTGCAAAATTGATATATGGGTTTAATCATTTATCTTTCTTTTCTAATACTAGGTTTCTGTGTGATTTGTGTATGTGGGGGTTGAAACAGTGGGTTAGCAGATTCAAATTGTACCCAATTGATTGAAGTTTACAACAAATACAAAGAAAAATGTATGGAATCTTTCAATCACTCCATTTTTTGGGGGGCTTTTTCTTTTTGTCTCTAAAAGTGTATAACAGCCGGAATAATCTCTTTATATTTGTGTAAACTTTTCAGTTAACTATGAAATACACATAAAGTTTTAATTTTTTACTTCAATTTTACATTTTCACTCATCTTTTATGTTTTCATTTTTGCTGGGTGGTATATGCCCCTGTATAAAACCCCATGGGTGTTAAAATATTCATATACATGAGTGTATAAATTTTTTTGATTGCATATACATTAGTGTATATATATATATATATAAATTACATATACATTCATCCATAAATTTAGAGTGCAAATTTTAGTTTGCCCCCATGGTTCAACTCAAGCTTCATGAACTTTAATGGCCAACAATAAAACCAATACACAGAGTGCTGCACTAGCATATGGTTAGCTCATAGATTGGTTGTCCAAATCTAGAACTTTTTTTGATGCTTATATATCTCTTTTCTCAATTATTTTGCTGGATTTTTGATCAATTGAGTGGTTGGGTCAGTGGGACATTGGTTAAAGTTTGGATTTGTGATAAACTTTTGGTCTGCTATATATGGTATCTATATTTCTAATATAATAGACAGAGAATAATTCTTTAGGCTGTATGCATAATCATATTTGCTCATCACATCCTTAGGGAGGCTTTTATTGGAGTGTTTTGTGAATAAATTTATTTTGGAATTAAAAAGCTGTGGTATGTCCATGATTCTTTCATTTTTATGATTTATAAATACGGTAAAGCGTACTGGTGTTGTTTGAATTAAGTGCTGGTGGAACTTAGCATTAGTTTATGTAACTTCATAATAAACAGAACAAGTTTTTCTGGACATTCTATCTTTACAAAATATTAAAAATGTGGTCAGTAATTTATAACTTAAATATTTATGCTCAAGTAACTAAAAAAAACTATCTTAATTTGAAATGTTCAATGCCCTCTTAACCCTGATCAGTATTGATTACTGATCTGTAGTCCTATCTATCATAATGCATGGTTATTTTTTATTTTTTTTTAAAATGAGTTTGGATAATGAAAAGCATAATGCGTTGTTATAGCAAAGGATAGCAGAATTTTAAGATTCTCATATATATTCACTTTGTTTACACACCTGGTGGCAACTAAGTCCCAAACTCTTTTTTGTTTTATAAAGTGTCTATTTACTTCAATGCCCTTCTTGACACATGATTTTCAAGGAAAAGAAAAATTCATTTATGCCCTTCTTGTTTGTTTCTGAATGCTACATTTATTTCATGCATTTCAATAGGAAATCTCTAAAGCATTTGGGAGGTTTACTAATGCTGCGCAAGAAGCTCTCTATCGGCTATTTATTCAGGTATGTATTTTGTTTCCTGACTTTTATTGCGTTTTTTATATTTGTTGATGTCTTTTATTTTCTTGAATGGTTGTTTTTGAGAATTTCATATCATTAAAATATTGCAGATTTTGGTATTTTTTCCATGCTATATACCATGTTGAGTTTTAATTTAATGTTATCATTCTTTGAAATGTCCCAATTTAGAAAATATTGAAATTGCAAAGCTCTAGTTGAAGTTGAGAGATTGCTAACATTGTCTGAGAAGAGGGAG